ATTCTTATTAAGGATATTTATGAGGGTTTACCGATGCATTTTCAAATTACTCGATTCTTATTTTGGTTCATGGTTTATCAAGGGTACTTTAGTGAAAGTAGCGTCCAGCCGGACTAGGGTGTTACATCAACTCTTAAGATGAAAAAAACAAACCCTAATAGCCAAACACCAAAAACCAAACGAAACCCAAAAACGAAGAACAACAAAGAAAAACCTAGCAATCAGACTCACTCGCTTCACTCTCTCCTACTCCAATCCTCCAAAGACCCATGGACCGAAAAACAAAAACCATTTAAAACACAAAAACAAGCCCGCCCTCACCTCTCTCCCTTTCTTCTACACTCTGGCATTGACGGAAAAAAAAAGAGCTTCGAGCAACGAACGAGCCAGGCGAATTGCCAAGGACTGACGTCGGTTGCAACGAAGACGACAGAGACGAGGGTAAGCTTGCCTTTTAGGTTTGTATGTTAGGTTTTCTTATGATTTCTCCCGACTTTGGTTGGATTCAGCTTCTAATTGCATTTTTTGATCAAGTTTTGGTTCCGATTCGGACTCTTTTCCTCACTGATTTCTTGCTTTTAATAAAGGAGGGAAGGGAAAGTGGCAGTGACGAGAGCCAAAGAGGGAGGAGGTTACTGCTCCGATTTTGGTTTACGGATTAACTTGGTAGGTGGATCTCAATCGTTTTTGCTTTTGCATGTTATAGATCTGAGTTTTTAGGGGTTTTCAAAAATCTAATACTCTTCTGTTTTTTTTTTCCGGTTTTGATGGAGGGAAAGGTTGGTTTGGCGGCAGGCCATGTCGGCGGCGAGCCGCGACTGGCCGACGACGGCAAGGTGGGTTCTGCTGTGATTTTTATTTTTTTTTATTTTGAAAAACTGGCTTTTGGATGACTCTGAACCTATTTCTTCTCATTTTTGCATGTTTAGGGTACAAAAAACTCAGGTGAAATCTCTCCATATCCTTAGATGATCAAATGATTTAGCTAATAAAAAACAGATTATGCTATTGAAAATATCTTAAGAAGTAAACTGAGTTTGGCAAAAGCTATTGCTTTTGCTAAACTGATCATTAATACGTATGTTGAGTTATGTGTTGAGTTATGAGTAATATGTTTGGTTATAATTTTGACCTGTTTTGAGAGGTTTAATTATCATTTCAACATGAAAACAAATTTAGAGTCTATATTTTGAGGGGGAGCCCTTAAACAGAATTGAGGTACTACAAAGTAACCTCCTATCTTAAACCAATTGATTGTAGTCTTTGTTATTTAAGGGGTTTTGGACTATTTTAACGAACAAAACCAATCTGAGTTTCCCTTTTTTAGAATAGTTTCTTTTAACATGATATTGAAGCATATAAAAGGACAAATACATATATGTTTTGTTGAGGAATTGATTATAATCATTAGTATTAGAACAAGCTTATCGAGATCAGTTATGCAAATAAAATACTAGAAGTAAAGAGAGATAACGTAACAATAGATACATAAACAGAATTATAGATCCTTTTTGTTGTTATGTTGGCGATTAAAGAAGCATATTAAGTTTAAAAGTTCCTTAAAGAAGTAAACTTTTCCTTTTTTATACGTGAATGGTATGGGGTGATGATGATGGTTATTTTAAGGGGAAAGTGACCTACCTTGGTCTGTGATTGGTACTTTGGAGATGGTGGTGGCCTTCTTTGTTGGTTGTTTGCTTCCCCTTTTGGCCTCTCCTTGTTCTGGCTTTCCTTGCTCCAGTCGCTTTCTGCCACTTCACTTTCTTTGGAATCTTGTATGAGAATAGAAACAGAAAAGGAGAAAAGGGAGATGGAAGTTGGTTTTTACTTCTTCTTACATGCTTGCTGAGTTTTTTTCACTCAAGCTTTGTAAATTCTTGGGTGAAGTTGGGTGGAGGTGAATGGTTGTTTTGGTGCTTTTCTTTACTGCTTTTGGGATAAGGATGAGGATATGTGGACTGGAACTCTCCCTTCATCTATTGCCCAGACCCTTGTATTTATATTGGATATTTACTGTATCATAGGGGGGAGTTTGTTCCAATCTGATTGGCCCTGGGTTTAGACCCCCTCCCTGCTTGATTCTCATTGGTGAAGAACTGTGGCTACAGTAACCGACTTAGTTCAAGGTCGAACCAGGGTTCGAGTCAAATGGACGAACCGGTCCGGGTTGGATACAGACCTGATCGGGTCGATCTGTTGACCGGGCCTTGACCAATGTGATGGACCTGACTGGGTCTTGACCAATCTGATGGGCCTGACTGGGTTTGGGCTGGACTTTGATATGGGCCTGACCCAAATTAGACTTTTAATTAACTTTGTTTTTTTTTGTATTATCTTTTACAGGCCTATTTTCTAGACTTTTAAAGCCCAAAATGATGACCTGAGAAAACCAAATCCAAAGAGGACGGTTCTCAAAATCTGATTGCGCCCTAAAGTTTAAAACGAAAGAAAAGTTTTCAAAACATTGGCCTCGTTAGTTTCTCTTATCTTTCTATTATTGCAATTAGTTATGATGTAAATTGTAATTATGACGTTTGTGATTATGCAATATTGTATGTTAATTTCTATTGTTGTAATGGCTACGTATGTTTACTATAGATGTGATTTATTTATTAATAAGATAATGCTATTTCATAGTTAGTTTGTCATTTGTAAAGCGATACTCCAAACTTGATACTCCATGCTCAAAAGCCCAACGTCCAAAGACCACGAACCAATCAAAGCGATCTCAAACCACGAAGATAACGAAATAAGGCAATTGCCTTACGAATTTTATCCCAACAATCGGCCTAGAATCAAAGGAGATGAGATTTCAATTGTAATATCCTCTATTTAAATTGGAATCTTAAGACTTGCTATTGCTAATTCCAAAGATCCGAATTACATATTCTTATATCCTTATGCTACATATTTTGAGAATATTTTAGTAGTTCATTCAAGATTAGCAATTGCCTATCTTAAATGAATTAAGTTCTTCAAAATTCAGAATATTTTAGCTCAGACAAAATGGGGTGTCTATAGGGGCAATGGTGGGAGAGACTATGAATACTACTACAACGAAGGTAACAAGTACAATGTGGAAATGAGTTAAGGTGGAAATCTATTGGCCAAAGTAAAGTAAGTTGGATGCTTTGCTCGTGGAGGAGACTCCAAAGGTGGAGTTCCAAACTTCAAAGTTGGGCGGCATAAGGGTGTTAAGCACCATGCAAGGGAAGGAAGGCCTACCTCATACTGAGAAGGAAAGGCAATGATTAGTAGAGGCTAAACTCAAGAAGGGGAAGAAAAAAATTTTGATGGAAATTAGAGCTAATAATAACTTGCTCGACGTGGATAAAAAGCAGATGCTACGCATCACGTACGAAAACATAATAGGGTGGTTGTAGACCATCAATGAGGTGGCCACACCAACACATGGATTTTCTTGCAAGATGATAACTATAAGAGATTCTTTTAGTGATGCGGACTTCCATGTGGTGTCGATGAATGATTATATAGTCGTCATTGGCATGGACTTTATGGATGAGAAGAAGGCTTACTTGATTACCTTTGAAAAGTCTATGCTAATTTTGGAATGATGAAAGCGATGCGCGATGAAACTATCGTATGAGGAACCCAGATATACGAAATCTAACTTTGCAATGCAAGCCGATTCAAAGGAAGTGACCACAAAGGTGGACTGGTGGGATACTAAGAGTATCGACAGAAGAAGGTAGGGGTAAGAGTGCATTGCATCTAGGGCCATGAGATTCATGCACGAGTTAGGGCCACCCTTGACTCACCATTAAGCTCATCACAGTTACACCTGTTGAGATGAATAGCTTTGAAAAGCTATAAATGAAATTCCTAATTAATTATCCAGTATTTTCCCATAATACATAAATAAGATGGATAATTAATAAAAGGAATATTATGGAGATAATTAGGAATAATTATCTTAATAGATTATATTTTAATTATGGGAGTAATTATCTCCCTAATTAAAATGTGGCTTATTCCCAAAGAAAGAGGGAATATTCTGGGTTTTCTGCTCCTATAAATAGCAGACCCCCTAGACCCTCTAAACACACCTCAGTGAGCAGAAACACAAGAGAGAGTGAGATTCAAAGAGCTCCGGTTTTTCGCACAAAACCGCTGAGTAAATCAAAAGTGTGGCTGTTTTATCCTAGAGGCAACCGGCTGATAGTCTGCTGCGCGAATAACGAGGCAGTGCCGCGAACGTCTTAAAGAGAGCGACCTAGTCCGCGACTCAGCCAGATTCGATAACCCTAATTTTTCTGTTCGATTTCTAACAACACTAACAATGAAGCTGATGCGAAGAAGACGCCATGATGAGGATGACGTGAATAATTAGGCGGGGAGAATGGCACACCCAAGAGGCAAGGTTCGACGAGGTTCAATCCTCAAACCTCTTGAAGAGCCTAGAATATTCTAGAAGACCCCAAAAGATGTGGAAGATTATGGAGGAGCATGAAAGGGTAAGGAGACATGCAGATATTTTCTTGGAGAATTCTAGATGCCAGATCTTAGTCGTATGATTTGATAGAGATCTTAGTCGTCCATTTTTTAGGTGAAGTCTATATAAAGATAACCCCCCCTGATTTGTAATCATCAAAAAACATTGAGAGAAATAAATGTCTAGAGAGCGCTCCTCTAGACTGGTGAGTGTGAGTGAGGTTGAAAGACGGCTTACTTAGCTCTCTGAGGCGAATTGAGCGTTAAAGTTGCATGGAAGGGTTTATAAGTCTGTGATACCACGTCCACCTGAATAAGTGTGAGAAAAAAAATTCAACCCACGATCATCCACATCAATCACCCTCCCATTATGATTTGAGTTATTTGCGAGTGAGTCGATGTCAAACTACGAATTAACTATGCCACTCTTATGTCCACCTATTCCACAATATCAAAATTTCAAAAATGAAAAATAAAAATCCGCACATGCTCTCAATTTGCTGATAAAAATATTTCATGCATGCTCCTCCTCAACATCAAATTAAACATCTCTATCTCCCTTCCCGCTAGCTACCCAAATTTCAGAGAGGGGAGGGAAGAAAAGACAATCACTATGGGCAACAAAAATGAAAGTTGATGTAATTACAAACCGAATCGATTGGTGACCTCCATTTTCTTTATCTTTCTGGTAATCGTGGTTATCATTTCCTGCGTTTTATTGCATAAGCTATAGAAGAAGAAGAAGAAGAAGAAGAAGAAGAAGAAGAAGAAGAAGAAGAAGAAGAAAGGGCTAGTTAATTAGTTCCGGGAGAACAAACAAATCAATCCCTCATCCGTTTTCAAGAATCCAATGGCCGCTATCGTGATTTGTAGGCATGTGGGCCAGTTAGGGTTTGGAATCGGAAGAAACTCTAGACTCGGTTCTGCTCACAACCACAATTTTCCTCTCAACAGGCGAATTTCGGAGCTTGTTAAAGCCAATGGAAATCACGTCTTCCTCGTTGATACTTTAGCCCTCGTACGTCTCTTCTTCTTCTTCTTCTATTACCTGTCAATTATTTATAGTTATTACATTTATTTATTTTTCTTTTTAGGCCCGGAGGTTGGAGGCGAGAGGGCTCTCGTTGAACCAAGCCGAGGCGATAACCGATGCAATCACCGACGTTTTGAATGACAGCTTGGAGAATGTGGCCCACTCTGTCGTATCCAACACTGAGATGCAGAAGGTGTAGATCCTGACAAAATGCGTCATCCTAATTACTGATTTGTTTGTCATATATATGTGACGGATGATACATACTATAAGTTTTGTGTACGTTTGGTAGAAGGAGATGATACAAGAAACGAGTCTGTGCAACTTCAAATCCGAGATCCAAAGCAAGCAGGTACTTAATTAATTGTGCTGGGTACTCACTCATGCATGTTCTAGCTGATCGGCATTTCAAGCTCTTTGTGTGCACCATATCATATTATCATATGTATAATGTATATAACGAAAATAAATAAGAGATGCATTTTTAATTACTTATAAAATCTATTTATGTACGCAGGAGCATCATTTTTCTTTGTTACAACACGAAGCGGAGAAGATGGAGAATATGATTGAGAAGACAACAGAGAAGATGCAAAATGACATTGAGAAAACCCGTATTGACCTCAGGTCCTATCTACCCGCATCATAATATATAAATGTAGTCTTTAATGTCAATGATTTGATTTAGATGTCACCAAAGAGGCAAGGGACATTTCCATTATCTGATTATTTTGTGATTCCCTAACAAGATGAAATGCATTAGGTTGTATGTACTTTTGTTATTTGTTTCTTTATGAAGATCAAGGGTAAATTTTGAAATAAAATGGGTATGTATTTGGCAATAACAGGCATGAAATCGATAAGGTCAATTCTGGGCAAAGATTGGATTGGAACCTTGAGAAAGGGTATGAAGGAGACTATTATATTTGTCTTGATAATGCATCTTGTTAATCTTTGGCACTTCTTAACCTGAATATTCATTTTATTTAATCAATTAAATGGTGGTGAATGATAATAATAGGAGGATACGAGACGACCTAGCTCAGCGAAAAGCTGAAACCACTAATCTGGAGAACAAACTTGATAAAGTGAGTATTTTTATTTATTTATTACGGTGCACGTGCATATTGATTTTATTTTTTGAAAAAGAGTCTTCTGTCTTATAATCTTTCGATTATTGGCAGGAGACACATGGTCTAAGGGCCCAACTTGAAGCAGCAAAGTATGATGTTACTAAGTACTTCATTGCTACTTCCTTCTCTCTTTCTGCCGTTGGCCTTGCTGTGGTTCGCATCTTCTTGTAAAAGCCTAGGACTACCCAAACCCACCACCACCGAAATAAATAAATAAATAAAGCAACACCCTAGCGTTTTTAAATTTGTTTTTTTTGTAGCTATTAATTACTCTCACTTGTGTAGGCAAGGAGTTTTCAAAATATGTAAATGACGATGACTGCCAATGCTAATTAAATGTATGTACATATACTTGATCTACGAAATACTATAAGGCAATATCAAAATAAAAATTTCGCCACGTTAGCCTCTATTGATAGCGCCAAATAGAACGGAGGGTCTTTCCCGTCATTTCCAATCTCCCTCCGGAAAGAGAACGCCTCTCTCTCCAACCCTGCCAGAAATAAAAGTCTCTTACTTGCTGTCCCAACGCAATACCAAAGACCTCCCACTCAATCGAAGATCTCCCATTCTCCTAGCGTTGCCGTCTCTGTATTTCCTGCTCTGGGACATCGATGTTTTGTTGTCGATTAATATATAGAAGAATTAGAGAAATCAATCCATGAAAGAAATCACTGGCACTTATGAGGGGTTCAATTTCCCCTACTCTGAACTCGATTACGTATGTTGGAAGGAGATAGTAGAAACAATGCTAGCGGACGATGGTGATTGCGACAACAACTAAACAAAGGGAGATGTGACGGCGTTGATCAACAACTGATTATGATTTCACCTCTCTCCCACCTCCTCTGAGCCGGAAGGAGAGGCTGCATGTGAGGGAACATAAAACGTCGGGAAGGAAGGGAACCACCTTTTCCTCGCACTACCTCTTGAGTAGATGCTCCTAGACCTGTTTATACATAGAGAAATATCATAATCAATGAATGCAGTTTGCTCGCTTCATCATCCGAGGTAATTGAAATGATGAATGCATGTTTGTTCTTTTGGTTGCATTTTCTAGTTTTTCGAAACTTAGCCTCCGAATTGAGAATACCTTTGTATCGCGCAACCAATTTGGTTTTCTAGATTTTGAAATCCTAGTTCCAATAGATGCTATGCATGTATCATCATTGTAATGCCATCGAAATGAGCATATTTTTTCAAGAACATATTTTATTATTTCTTACCCTTATCTAAGTTTGTGTACATTGTGGGTTGTGGTGTATATAGTGACTTGAATCGACTAAAAGGGATAGCACGATATGATTACCAATGAGTAATTGGTTCTACCTAAGCTAAGTGAGTGAATTATTTTCAAAATATCTTTCCGAGTTCAACAACACAAGATGGATCTTATCTTAGTGGAAGAATCCTACCAATGGATTTTTGGTACCCAACAAAATATAAATTGCAATCTGTTGTAGGAATTGAAAGCATTATAAGGGGATGGGAGCTTGTTGTTTTTCCTATATGGGTTTATGAATCGTGGTTCTAACAGAGAGTGATTGGGTTTTCTTTTTTACTAACTCTGAAATATTTATATACTCAAAGAATTTGTCCAGTAACCAATTCATCGAGTCATTGCCCAGGGTGAGTGGGTTGTTACTAACTGAAGATCATAGTAAGTTTTTCTCTTCTTCTTATTCAACCCAGTTGACCATTTGTTTATTGAATTGATTACGTGGTATTAGTTGTTTTGCATCAAACAACTTGGGTCCCTAACACTAGGTCTGATACTTTTTATAATTCATTAACATGTATTTTGGTTCACTATTTTTGTGGTTGTTGGTTATGAGATAATTGAACCTCCTGCGATTCTAAGCATCAACTCAATTTCGACAATAATTCAAATTACAGTTGATGTTAGAGAACTATATGACCCTGTTTTCCCTAGAATATATTGACCCCATAATCATTATGCACTATATTGAGTTTCTAAGTTTAATTTTCAAATGATGAAGTAAAGGAGAAGTTGCAGTAGACATCATAAAAACAATCAGGTTGCTAATGCGTATTGCAATTTCAGTAGTTATCTAATTCTAAATAAATTTTTTAGAAATGAAGCCATGGCATGAGTAGGGGAAAAAACAAAAGATTTACTGTCAATATATTAAAAGGTTGACTTGTCCCGAATATCACCATAATTTCCCACCTAAGGTCCAAGTATAAACCTTAGATGGATGCAATATAGGGCAATTATGTTTAAATATCAACTCGGGCCGACCCGTGTACCCCTACTTTCGTTGTTTTAAGTATTATCTAGCGAATTGGTTTTTGATTGAACACTATAAGATTTAAATCATAACAATGCAAAGTTAAATTGTTTGAAAGCTTTAGATGAGAAGGATCACTCGGGTGTCGCTTCCCCCTAACTACTACCATGTCATGTGGACTCGAATGGGACGTTATGTGCAAGGCAATCATGAACCGCTAGGAGGTGCAACTATGGTCGAATACCACACTCTTAATTTCCAAACCAAGGGATGCATTATAGGCAATTGAGAGTGTGGTCTTCGACCATAGTTGCAACTCCTAGAGGTTCATGATTGCCTTACCCACAACGTCCCATTCGAGTCCACATGACATGGTAGTAGTTAGGGGGAAGCGACACCCGAGTGATCCTTCTCATCTAGAGCTTTCAAACCATTTACATTTGCTTTGTTTTGATTTAAATCTCATAGTTTTCAACCAAAAACCAATTCGCTAGATAATGATTAATACAACAGAAGTAGGGGTACACGGGTCGGCCCGGGTTGATATTTAAACATACTTGTCCTATATTGCACCCATCTAAGGTTTATACTTGGGCCTTAGGTGAGAAATTATTGTGATATTCAGGACGAGTCATGCCCCGTTCACTTGCCATTTCATTTTATGTAGCTGTCACAACAGGAAACATCTGAAAATGAAAACAAAGTTGTTGTTTTCTAACCATGATATCTAATCATGATATTGCTCTAATGAAAAAAATAATTGTGCATCCAACTCCATTCTTCGCTCTTCATGTCTTGATTGTTGTTTGATTCTATGTCAAAGTTGTCTAGCTTTTGTTCTATATCCTGATTTTGTCTAGCCTTTAAATCTGGAATTGGATGGACCCTATGGATTGACGTAGAAGCAGTAACAGTTGTAATTGGTAGCATAAGAGACCATGGAGTGATCGTTTACACAAGCCACGATGAAGCTCTTCATTCACGTTCTCACCGGCAAAAGGAGGAAGGGAAATCTCTTCCACCCAACTTTTTACCCACCCAATTTCAGATGCAATCGATCCAGTAAGATATTCATGAGATTCATATATTACCCCTCCGTCGTCGTTGTCGGTGTGGAAGCGTCTTATTGAAATGGAAGAAGTGTTTGAGGAAGGGAAATCTATTCTACCCAACTTTTTACCCATCCTATTTCAGACTCCGATATAAGAGGCCGTTGCATTCTCGGTCAGCGGTTGGAGGAGGAAGAGGCAGGCTGGAGTTAATTGGGTCGTGGCAGGAGGAAGTTGCGCCGACTGGAGGAGTAGGAGGGTGGTCGGACCTCGTCGCCGACTGGAGGAGGCAAAGACGAAGCTCTTCGCTGGACTTGGGAGAGCGATCGCTTTGCGTGTATGGATGTCGCAAGTCGAAAGAGCAAAATAATATAATGGGTCTGGGTGGATTCGAACCCAGTGTCTCATTTAACTACAGTAACATTTTTCACTGGGAAACGAGGAGAAACCCTACACATATTTTACAAGAAACAAGTATTTATCGTTTTCCCATAACTTTCACATTTGTGCCATTTCGTTTTATTAAACGAAAACGAAAGAACAAGTGTACACATTTTTTTGTATTTATTTCTTAATTTTCATTGTCACAACAAAAAACAGAAAACGAAATGGCAACTGAATGGGGCATCAAGTTTTCGGCGCCGTTGCCGGGGTTTTTTGGTATGTTATCTTGAAAAAGTTGTTTGGTGTTAATCTAACTTTTAATTTCCAGTTTTGAAAGTGTGTGTGCTTTGCTTGTGCTAGACTTGTTGTTTTCTAAGTGTGTGTAGGGAGGTGTATGACCCGGAGCAATCCGACACCTTTGATACCACGTGACAAGAACATCAACCGGACTCTCCGACTCCTATCACGGGAGAGGGAGTTAGCGAAGCAAGGAGGAGAAGTGAAGAAAGGGGACAACAATTTGGTCCCCGTGTTAGTGGAGTAGAAGTTGAAGAAGTGGAAGAAGTTGGAGAAGTAGGAGTAGAAATGGCGGCGAACCAGCAAGGAGGAGGAGCCGCCCAAGTTCACAACCATAATGATGAGGCGGCGTGTCAGAACAGAAGCGTGCAATCGATAATCCAAACCAACACGAACGAACACAAATTTAACGTGGTTCACTAACACAATGTGTGCTAGATAATCCACGGGCAGAGGAGAACAAATTTCACTGATTTGAGGAGAGTACAGGTTACAAACCAAATTCCAAACGGACAAATCAAACAAACTAACCTGACTGACCTTACTACAAACTAGGGTGATGAAGAGTATTTATAGAACTCTTCTCCTAATCCCAAACAGAAAACCAAATACATTTTCCCAAACCTACAAGGAAAAGGTCAAAACAAAACCCAATCCCAAACCCAAACAGAATAGGCCTAAAACACAAAACAAACGCAAATGAAATTCAAGTCATATTCTAACAATCTCCACCTTCACTTGAATTCTCTCTCAAATACCATATGTACCAGACGCAACCAAAGTTGCCAGATGTACCAAACTCCTCCAAATCAGTTGTACCAGAATCTCCCCTGCCTCCAAATGCCCCTAAGGGTGGTCAACAACTCAAGTCATTTGGCAAGTCCAACCCATGTTGAGACTTGTCATTCAGAACCAGTTTGGTGCACTTATCACCAACAGAACATGTCAAAACTGAACCTTGTAGATTATACAAGGCACCCCGTTTGACACCTTTCAAAATCACCTTAGAACCCTTGTAGACAGACAACACTCCACCTTCACCTTTGAAACTGAAACCCTTGCTGTCCAGTAGACTCAAAGATATCAGATTCTTAGTCATCTCTGGAATATGTCTAACATTTTTCAAGGTGCGAACAGAACCATCATGTGTCCTCATCCTGACGGAGCCTCTTCCAACAATCTTGCAGATAGCACCATTGGCCATAGAAACATGTCCTCCATCTATCTGCTCATAAGTTGAAAAACACTCCCTGCTTGGACACATATGATAATCAGCTGTAGTACTAATTACCACACATCCTGATGATGTACCTGTTCATTCACTGCTAAGGCTAAACCATCTTCAGAATCAGAGTTAGTTTCTTCCGCCACAGCAGCAGATGATTCCTTCTTCTCCTGATATTTCTTTAGCTTAGGACAATCAAATTTCCAATGTCCTTTCTCCTTGCAGTAATAACAGATATCATCCTTCAAACCAGCAGAATTTGAATTTGTATTCGCCTTCTTATTACCAGATTGTTGACTCCTACCACCGGTAGCAGCCAACCCAGATGCCTGATTTTCCGAACCAGAACCAGACGCCTTATGTCGAAACTATCTTTTCTGAACCCAGATGCCTGTATTCGCCTTATGCTCTCTAGTATGTAGAGCAGATATGACATCTTCCAAAGACAAACTATCTTTCCCAGCAATAAAAGAATCCACAAAATTCTCATATGACTGTGGCAAAGATACTAACAGAATTAAGGCAGCATCCTCATCATCTATTTTAACATCAATATTCCGCAGATCTAACAAGATAGTATTGAGTTGATCTAGATGATTCCGGAGAGAAGTACCTTCCTCCATACGCAAACTGAACAAACGTTGCTTCGTATGCAACTTGTTAGTTAAAGACTTTGTCCTGTATAGACTTTCAAGCTTCAACCATAAGCCCACAGCAGTCTTCTCAACAGCAACCTCAGTGATGATGTCATCAGTCAAACAAAGTAAGATTGTAGAGTGATCTTTCTCCTCCAAAGTAAGCCACTCTTCTTCATCTATGCTTTCCTTCTTCGATTTTCCAGAAAACGGAGCCCATAAACCCTGTTGTTTCAACAGTGCTTGCATCTTGATCTGCCACAAACTGAAACTGTTTCTTCCGGTAAACTTCTCAATCTTCATACTGATAGTAGCCATTCTTATTATCAAACAAACTCCAACCAAACTCCACAAAGCAAAACTTCAGTCCAACGCCAAATTCCCAAAACCGCAACCAAAGGCTCTGATACCACTTGTCAGAACAGAAAGCGTGCAATTGATAATCCAAACCAACACGAACGAACACAAATTTAACATGGTTCACTAACACAATGTGTGCTAGCCAATCCACGGGCAGAGGAGAACAAATTTCACTGATTTGAGGAGAGTACAGGTTACAAACCAAATTCCAAACGGACAAACCAAACAAACTAACCTTACTACAAACTAGGGTGTTGAAGAGTATTTATAGAACTCTTCTCCTAATCCCAAACAGAAAACCAAATACCTTTTCCCAAATACAAGGAAAAGGTCAAAACAAAACCCAATCCCAAACCCAAACAGAATAGGCCTAAAACACAAAACAAACGCAAATCAAATTCAAGTCATATTCTAACACGGCGGATGAGGAAATCCCAAGGACAATGGATACCATATGGCCCCACGGTCGGTGGACATTCAATTGCCAATCTTGCACCCTCCCGTGGCAGCCAACAATTTCGAGATCAAGCCGGCTCTAGTGACTATCGCAATTGAGAGTGTGGACTTCGACCATAGTTGCACCTCCTACCGGTTCACGATTGCCTTGCCCATAATGACCCATTCGAGTCCACGTGCTATGGTAGTAGTTAGGGGGAAGCGACACCCGAGTGATCCTTCTCATCTAGAGCTTTCAAACCATTTAACTTTGCTTTGTTTTAATTTTAACCTCATAGTTTTCAACCAAAAACCAATCCGCTAGATAATGCTTCAAAAATAAAAGTAGGGGTACATGGACCGTTCCCCGTTGATATTTAAACATACTAGTCCTATATTGCACCCATCTAAGGTTTATACTTGGGCCTTAGGTGGGATTTTGTTGTGATATTCGGGACGAGTCAGTAATCTTCATCCAAAGTTGGATTGTATCTCACCATTAAACACCTCAACTCTTCGAACTTTTCCCGATATCCAGCAAAGAACCTCTTTGCCTTAGTTTATTGAATTCCCCCAGAATTCCCCCATAAGACCTGTCACCAAAACGTCTACATAGACCTGCTACAGGGCAGGAAGGAAGGAGGAAAGTGGACACCAATTGCATCTCTTGTAAATTTCTTGCGCAGGGCAGGAAGGAGGATATAATGGATGTGTCGTTTTTGAGCGCTCAATTAAGTGTGTAATTAAGTTGTGGGTTTCAATATTAGCAACTTCTATCCATCTTAGTCTCTTAGATGGGAGAGGAGAACTCGGGCGTGAGAAGTTGATCAGTCATCGGTGGTTGGCCATTAAATTAATTGTCATAGATGAATCGACGAGTAAGGCTCAACTGGGGTGAATCCAAAATGATGTTCTCTTCTTCTCTTGGATCTAGAGAGAAAGCAGAGAGCAAAACTTGACCATTAGGCGGAACATCCCGAGAGACGAAACGACAGGAAATGATAGGGAAAAGGGGAAGATGCGAACTCGACCAGCCGCCAGAGAGACAACGTAGGGACATCGAAGAAGGAGCAGAAAAAGGTGCATGAAGACCTATGGTACCAACCCAATTCGAGGCTTCTCTACTGTAGCAACTTGGACAGTCGCCAGTTTGTCAACGGGCAGTCAGTCCGCAGAGGAAAATTAATCAACGCAGATGTAATCAGAAGATGAGAGGATCACAGATGGATGAGAAAGAAGTGTCGAGAAGGAAAGAGTGGATCTCGGGACTGGAAAAAGAGTGCATAGCGGCTTACGGTGTACCTACCCGTAGCCCACTGGACCCCTATACCAATTAGGCGCTATTTATATTCTAACTAGACTTTCTTGCTCGCGCTCCGCGCCGGGATTTGTGGAAACATGAATATGTGTTAGGTTACCCAAAAACAATTAGTGCTTTTTGACACGTTTACCTAGTAACATTAACATGCGCTTGACAATTACGTTTCAGCAAGCTCATGTTTAGTTTAGAGCATTGAGTAAATGCGACAATAATGTTTCAGTCGATGATAATATGACTACACGGGGTACAATAAATTATGAAACGTTTGGCAAAGTTTAGTCAAACACATAGAACAAACAAACAAGATAAATTTAGACAATAAACACGAACAAAAGTAAAAAAAGAGATAATACAATTGCAAGCAAAAGATGAAGGAAATGTAACTATCTACTTCCCCAACAATAACATTCACGCCATGAGCTCTAGTTCCCTTTTGTTGCTGACATTTTGCTGGCAAAACTCCACACACAGATTCAACACTCATAAGTAAAAACATTAGAGAGGAGAGATTGACAATTAAAGCTTCAAAAGTAAATGGATCACTCACCTAAAATTCGACATCCTTCACTCTGCGCTTATTGTTGCCACATGTGATGAGTAGAGATTCTTATCTATTGAATCGTCCATCTTCCTGCCACCCAAAAAGCAAGAAACAACATCCACTAATTAAAGAGTAGGACAATAAGAACAAATAAAAAGAAATGGATTCTCGAAAATGGATCATAAGAGAGACACACTGAATCGAAATGGAAATGGACAAAGACTCCCATAGATAGTAGAGACCCTCTCATAATCAAGCTCCAAAAGTTGATAGATTGTGCTTTAGTTTCGGATTCAAATTCAGCAGCAGCTTCATGTGGAGTAGCAAACAAAACTTCGAGACAAAAAAATGAATCAACTAAATCACAAAGGAAGATATAGATAAGCCAAATGGGATGCAAGGATCTACGGCCACCTGGCTTCCTGACGAACTGGAGCATACATATTGTCTTGCAAGAAACAATTATTCATATCCACATGAACAAAATAAAGTTCAATTGAGATCCAACCTTAACACTAACAGTGCTCTCCAAAATTAATAGTGGTCAAAAAGAAAAAACGGAAACAAAGAGAGCCTTCTAGTCAACAACTGGTGATAAAGAGAAACAAACTCTTTTCTGCGTAAATCACCGGTTCACCCGTGCCTCTCTTCTTCAAGAAGTGACTGTCAGCCATTACTCATTTTTATCTTCACTCTCAGTCTCGTTTTGATGAGCAACACCTTCAGCACACCATCGCCAAGAATACTCAGTCACTGAGCGACCATCCATCCCTTGGTCCTGTTAACAATTAACATTTTGCCTCAACTCCAAGCCACTCTGAATGACGCAAATCGCTGACCACTTTGGCCGTCGGAACCTATGAGCCCGAAAGAATCACGTGTTGCTCCTCTGAAAACAGAATGCACAAATCAATGAAAGATGCGGAAAACATCGTTGCCCCCCGACTTCTACCTGTCACATTAGGTACCTCAACAACCCCAAGACTGCTTCATGGTCTTACCGGTTCCAGTCAATGGACTGGTGACCAACGCGAGTTTTCTAAAAGCATACCTAACTTCCAAACTCATGAGCAAAAAGAAATATCCAAGACAACAGATAGTTGCAAGCAACAACTATCAGTGAAAAGAGAGAAATATAGAGGAAAGAATCTTACAATCTAAATCACACTGACCATTAAATGAAATGATGGTCAGAAAGTTGTGCCATAAGAAAGACATCGGAAAGATTTCAAAGAGGTGAATCCATGAACCAATAGAATGGGGGATATTTTCAGAGGCGGGAACCCTTATAGGTTGTATTAAAAGATGTTTTTGGTCCCCTTCCCCTTTTTGACGGCTTTGAAGTTCAGACCGATTGTCAATTCCATTACACAGAATCGCTTTCCAAAATAGCAAACAAAAGCCATCAATCAGAACCATAATCAGGGCAGATTACCAGAAAGAGAAGGGGAAGTAAAGAGAAGGAAAAAAGCCACAGCTTAGAGAATTACCATATCTGATGTCTGGTGACTGTCTCTAGCGGAAACGATCATGACGGTGCGTACCATGTCTAACCTAGCAGTATATCTAGAAGCGCATATGAAAATTGGAGAGAAATTAGAATAAGAATCCACAAAAGATGAATATAAAAGAATAGGAAAGTTGAGATAAGGAGATACCAGAACCAGTAGATTTGGCCTAAGAGTGCATCAAATATGGAAAACACCACCCTCAAGCCACATTGCTCTGGGCTCCTCCTCTGCTCCCTCTCTGATTCTCGTGGCCACCATCACCGACGTTCTTCCAACTGCAACCTAAAGCCTGCAAAAGTGGAAAATTAGAAAAAGGAGAGCATGCTATCCTTCTTGTTTGTCGATTTCAAACCGGAGGTGAGAAAGAGAGGAACAGATGATTAACAGAGAAGAAGAAGAAAAAAAAGTGAAAGAATGATAGAGAGTGTGGAAGTGATAAAAAGAGCAGGCTATCATTCTTTGGCATAAAAAGAGCCACGTGGCGCTCAAACCCACCAACCAACCCACGAAAAAGATCTGAGATCTTTCTTTCTCAACGCCGCCCAAACCCCTCACCTTTTTCGTTGCTTTCTTTCTGGGCATCGCCCAGTCCATTCACCTTTCTCTGCTTTTTCCCTCAGCATCGGCCAGTCTCCATCATAGAGCAGCCGTCAGCAGACTTTCCTCCTCACACAGGTGAAGCTCCCAAGAAGCTACGGTCCTACAAAGCGTCCTTGTTTTGTTTTTTTACTAAATGGTATGATTTCATTCATAATCGAAAGAGTTACAAGCAAGTACACTTAGATGAGATCTGAAATGATATTTAGGATAGTAATCCAGCCTTGAGGGAGAGTAGAGTGAGCCTGAGACATAGCAACCCAATCCGCTCTGCAGTTCCAGCGACGCGAAAAAGCTTCCACCTTGATGAGATTTGTCGATGATAGGATGTTTTGCATAGTTCCCACTAATGCGAAACATCTCCAAGGCCACGCATCTTGGCCAGAGGAGAGGGCTTTGACAAGGGTCTCGCAGTCCGAACGGATAACACACTAGAGGTTACTGTTCCTGGAAAACTTGATAGCTTCTAAGAGTGCTCTTGTTTCCGCTTCAATCTGAGATGAACAAAAGAAGGAGCATGCCCGTCCATCACAAACATGTCCTTGGTTGTTAATGAGAACAAGACCAAACGCTGCCTCCTGGGAATCATGTTAAAATGATCCATCACAGTGAATCTCCAATTGGGGATTTCGTGGCGGTGGGCATGGTTGATGATGGGGCCCTCTGGGCGGACTCCAGAGGAGATGAGAGGAGGAAGGAGGATCAGGGCATGAAGACCATTCCCGAAACTGTCGATTCGCAGCAATGCAGGTGCTGTAATCAGAAGGGAGGCTTTCCCTGAACACCAACGCGTTTCTTGCTTTCCATATATTCCATCAAAAGTATACAACTTGTAGGATACTCGAGGACGAGAGACTATCCTTCAAGCTGTAAAACCAATCAAGGAAGGAGGAGGAGGCTGACGGGAGCGGAAGAGATGGGAATAATTTGGTCCAGGCATTAGCTGCATGATGACAAGAGAAAAGGCAGTGGAACATAGACTCGTTTGTGCTGTCACAACAAGGACAGTTCGAATTTGGCGCACATTTTCTGCTCCACAAGTTACTTTTCGTTGCAAGCAACTTTCTTTCGCATCTCCAAACAAAGAAGTGAAGTTTTGGTGGCAGGGAGAGGCTCCACACCCATTTCCATCGTTCCCTGTCAAAGACAGACACATGAGAAAGGTGGTCAGCTCTACCAAAAATAGAATTATGGAAAGCATAGTAGGTCGTTTTGACAGTAAACTTCCCTGTGTTAGTGAACTTCCATCCCCAAAAATCTTTGCCTTCCTAGGACCTATGGGAACTCTTAAGATCGAGCTAACATCATCATGGGAAAAGTGAGATGGGATTGCATTCCGATCCCATTCCCTAGAACCCTGGTCAATCCATTCTGCAACTTTAGCCGATGAGGAGGAATCTGTCTGGAGCCTATGGTCTGAAGAGGATGGGATCCAAGGGTCCCTGAAAGTCAACATATCTTCTCCGTTACCAATAACCCTAATTGTACCCAAGTCCAAGACCTTTTTTGATTCCCAGATGCTAGCCTAGATCCACGAAGGGCGACTACCTTTCCTTGACTGCAGGAACTCTTCGTTATGAAAATACAACCCTTTAAATAATCTAGCCCATAGGGCATCAGGTGAAATCAATAGTCTCCATGCCTGTTTTGCAAGCAAAGCGAAATTGAAGTCTTTGAAATTCCTGAATCCCAAGCCTCCTTATGATTTAGGTAAGCGTAGAGTCCTTCCTTTGCACCAGTGGATAGTTTTCTTCATCATCGAGCCTGACCAGAAAAAACGTCTGAGGACACTATCCATTTTCCTTGTGGTTCCCTCTGGGAGGAGAAAGAGGCTCATAATATACGTGGGAATAGCTTGAATAACAGATTTAATCATAACTTCTTTCCCTCCAAAAGATAAAGTTAGGCTCTTCCAAGCTTCACCCTGTTTTTCCATGCGATCAATCAGAAATGAGAAAGTTTGTTTCTTCGAGCTTCCCCACTCAGTTGGTACCCCAAGATACTTAGAGTGACAGTTAGAGCTAGCAAAACCCACTGCAGCAATAATTGAATCTTTCTCTTCTTGTAGGACATTAGCGCCACATAGTCATTAATTATTTGTAGAATCTTTTCTGCTTCAAGGGGAGAGGCTTTGCCAAAAATTACTGTATCATCAGCGAACAGACAATGGGAAATAACTGGGCATCTCCGGGTTAGTTTAATCCCTTGGATGGATTTAGAGGCAACCGCCTTATCAATGAGGAAGGTAAGGGCATTTGAGATGAGAATGAAGAGGAAAGGGGACAAAGGGTCTCCCTGGCAGATTCCCCTAGATGGGGTAAAGAACAGTGTAGCCTCCCCGTTGAAGAGTAAAGATAACCTCGTTGTTCGAACTGTTGAGCTAACCCATTTGCACCATTGTGTATCAAACCCATACTGTTGTAGGAGATAGTCCAGACTATCCCAATCAACAAGGTCATATGCTTTCCTCATGTCCAGTTTTAACATCATGTCCTGCCGTTTCCCTCTACGGTGGTTTTTAAAGTGGTGAAGCATCTCATGCACCACAATAATATTGTCCTGGATAAGCCTTCCTTTTGTGAAGGTTGTCTGAAGTTCGGACACCACTGATGGGACCCACTTTCCAGTCTGTTAGCCATAAGCTTCGAAATAATCTTATACATGTAGTTGCAGCAACTGATGGATCTAAATTGACTGATAAGCTCCGGGAACTTGACCTTAGGAACAATTGCCAAATGGGTGTCATTCCAACCTTGAGGCATAATACCCGAAGCAAAGAATCATCTAATCTCATCACACAAGCCACTCTCGATGATACCCCAAAACTTGCAATAAAAATTTCCAGACAAATCGTCAGGTCCAGGAGATTTACATGACCCCAGACTAAAAGCAGCCCTGCGTATCTCTTCATTTGTAAAAGGAGCACACAAATCATTATTCATCTCATGTGTCACTTTCCTAGGGAAATCCTGAAGAAGATGATGGATCTGACCCGTATCCCTTGCTTTGAAAAGCGTCATAAAAGAATCCCTGACATGAGCTTTAAGTTGACTTTCATCAGAGATCCAAACCCCTTCCTCATTCTTCAGTTTAGTGATCCGGTTTCTCAGTTTCCGTGAGATAGTACGTAGTAGCATGAAAGAAGGGTGTATTTTTATCTCCCAACTGAAGCCAATTAACTCTAGAAGTTTGTCTCCAGAAGGCTTCTTCCTCTGCCCAAATCTTGGAGAGTTCAGACACTAGAATCTTTTCTTCAGCAATAGCTTCAATTGGTTGGGGAGGTCCCTGAAGAATGGCAAGCCTCTCCTGAATCTCATTAGACCTAGCCAACCGTTTTCTATTGTACTCCTTAGCCCATGCCTTGAGTTCAACCTCACATTTGTTGAGATTGCTAGTGGATAGCCCCCTGTTAGCCCAAACAGATGACACTATGTTAATACTTTCGTCATTATCGTTCCATCTCTTGTCATATTGATAACGATGTAATTGCATGATTTTATACCCCTGTTTCTTATCCGTTTGCGGAGTATGGTTGTGTGTTTTGGCCTATTTTACGCCGGGTTGTGCTACTTTGTCCTATTTCAGGTCCCAGGCGTCGAAAGGAAGTCCAAGCGCGAGTTTCGGATCATTTGGAAGTCGTTTGGTCGAGCCAGGGCCAAAACACGGGCAGGAGGCCTTCAGAACACGGCCGTGTTCCTGGCCGTGTTTTTACCGCCGAGACTTCCCACCATAGAGCTACACAAGCTAAAAAAACACGGGCGGGGTCAACCAAAACACGGTCGTGTTTTGCACAGAACACGCCCGTGTTTTGCACAGAACACGCCCGTGTTTTACCAAGGCACGTGGCCGTGTTTTTATGCCGAATCCAAAACACGGGCGGGTTGGACCAGAACACGGCCGTGCCCTCGACCGTGTTCTGGCCAGTGATGCCCTTTTAGGCTAATTTCAGCCAAATTGAGAGGGGATTCGAGTTTTAGAGAGACAGAGCGATTCCTAGAGAGAGAAAGTGACGCACAAGAGTCTCCAAGTGCCCTAGCTTGATCTTCATCACCATTGGAGCTTGGCTTGAGCTTGGAGAAGTGCCGATCAACGTCCGGAAGCTGAATTCCATCCTTCACAGTATGGTTTCCGCATCTGATTCTGCTTTTGCTTCTTTCTCCATGGAGTAGTTCTCCCATTCATCTGGGTGTGGGAAACCCTAGTTCTGTATGTTGGGATTGATTGTATGAACCCAAGTACTGTTTCTATGATTTGATTATATTCGATTGAGGTTTGAATGATTGAATGGCATGAATCCTGATCAAATTCCTGTTGTTTCTGCTTTCACAGTGGGGAACTTCTACAGTGCCCTCACCCCAGACAGCCAGAGGGTGATCGAGTCTCTATGCCCAGGAGGGGATATCCTTACTAAGACTCCACCCGAGCTGAACCAGATGATCAGTACCTTGGCTGCCCGAGATCATTCTTGGGGGCAGAGCAGCAGAGGCAGACATTCCCGGGACCGTGGTGTGCATGCTATGGAGGCCAGATCCGGGCTAGAGCAGCAGGTGGCTGAGTTGGTGCAGACATTGAAGCAGCCCAACAGTCTCCTTCCG